TTACCCTAGTCTCAAAGACTTACTTGCATACTCAAATTCTACTTTCGTACTTGGGTCCCTGTTCCTGGCACCAATATGTCATTCTATTCAGGGTGTCAGGTCCCGAGAACGAGGTACCCATGGATGAGTATAAAAGTAAGAAAGAGAGAAAACCAAGAGAGGCAAAATTCTGGGATCATGGGGCTTACAGCCTCTCAGACTGCAGCCCCAATTACCAATTTCAGTAACTCTTTATTCAGAAAGAACAAAAGAAGCAGCAGTGCAAATGGGAGGATCTCAACCAATTTAGCAAGGACAATAAATAAGACTTGACTAATTAGCCATCATGTTATCATTCCATAGGGCATATCTCAGCAAAGCATTTAGTGTTGACACTGGGGCTTTCCATACTTTTGCTAGACTTCCTCCAGAACCCAACAATCATGGCTTGGTCAGGCCTGAGGCAATACACAAAAGAGTCACTAAAGAATGTCCTTCTCCACACATTTCTGAAGGGCTGTGAGACACAGCAGATACAGAGAGGCCTTCAGCCCCAGGGAGACCTGGGGGAGGACATGAGTCCCATCAAGCTTCTGTAATAGGCTGTGAGCCCCATTGTGACCATGGGGGAGGTTCTGAGCCCCCTTGAGACCCTTAACTTCTCCTTAAGCTCCATTGAGACACTAGGAAAACCCTTGAGTGTCATGGAGACACTGGAAAAGACCTTAAGCCCCACTGAGACCTTGGAAAAGGCCATGAGCCTCATTGAGGAATGACCATGACCCTCACTGAGACCTTGAAGAAGGACTAGACTTTCACTGAGACCCTGAACAAGGCCTTGACACTCTTTGAGACCCTGAAGAAGATCATGAGATCCAATGAGGCCCTGCGGGAGTCCATGATCTTCATTGAGATGTTGGGGAGGGCTGAGACCCATGAAGACCCTGGGGAAAGTTGAGAGCCCTACTGAGACACCGAGGAAGCCTGTGAACCTTATTGTGACCTCAGAGAAGGCTGTGCGCGCCACTGAGGTTGTCAGGAGGGCCCCGGGACCCACTGAGACATGGGTGAAAGCCCATCATCATCCCAGTGAATCATAGAGGAAGGCCTGAAGCCCCATTTAGAACCTGCAACCTTGGAGTAGGCTCTGAGGCCACTGAAACCCTAGGAAAGAGTGTGATTCCCCCTAAGACTCCGGTGATGCCAGGAGCCTGATTAAAGCCCTATTCAAGGCTGTCAGCCCTAATGGGACTGAGACCTTGGGGAAGGCTATGAGTCTCTTCAAGGCTCTGGGAAAGGCACTGAACTGCACTGATGCCCTACAGAAGGATTTATGCTCCATCAAGACCCTGAGATAGGCTGTGAGCCCCACTTCAGCCATGCAGAATGTCTGAAGTCCAACTGAGAATCTGGGAAAGGCATGAGTGCTTTGAAGACCTGGGGAAATCTCAGTCCCACTGAGGTCCTGGGAAGGTCATTAGCCCCATCGGAACCCTGGAGATTGCTGGAGTCTGAATGAGACTCAGGGAGATGTTGTGTGACCCATGGGGTTGGGGGAGGAAGGAGGGGAGTTTTACAGAGACCTGGAGAAGGCCTCGAGCCCCTGGAGACCTTGGGGGTGGCTATAACTGCAACTGGTGGTGGGAGCTCTAGTGATGTCCAGGAGCCCCATGGAAACACTGGGCCAGGCTGTGATCCCTCTTTAGACCCCAGAAGTCCTTCAGCTTCTCTGAGACCCTATGACCAAGGCCATGGGCCACATGACAACGCCATGATAGACTGAGCCCATTGAGACCCGGGGAAACTCTGAGCTCTGGGGCCCCTTTGTGAAGCTGTGGGCCCCATTTAAAGCCTGGGTAAGGTGAGAGACCAGAGAGACCTAGATCGGGGCCCTGAGCCTCGCTGGGATCCTGCAGAGGGCCAGGAACCTGACTGTGGCCTCCAGGAAACTAAGCCCCCCTGTGAGCCTCGTGCACACTCTGGGTAAGGCTGAGATAGTGGCAGAAGAAGCTGTAATCCTTGGGGAGAAGCCACAAGCCCATTGAGGCTCTGGAGAAGGCATTAAGCCCCTTGAGAAAGTGGGGCAGTCACTGAGTGTCATGACCCTAAGGATGGTCTTCGACCCCTCTGAGACTTGGGGGAGGGCCCAAGTGCCATCAGGGAGCTGGGCAGGGCCTGGTCTACGTGAAAATGCTGGGAAAAGCCACAACCCCATTGAGCCTCTGGTGAAATCTGGGCCCCATTGAAAAACTGGGAAATGTTGTGGACCCCAATGAGACCCTGGGGGAAGGTAAGAAACCCTAGTGAAGACCTGAAGCCCCACTGAGAAGCTGAGCAAAACCTCTGAACAATATGAGACCCTAAGGAAGGTCTTAAGCCCCATTAATGTCTTGGGCAGGATCACAGGTTCATTGAGACTTTAGGGAAGACCCCAAGATAGGATAGCAGCCCCACTGAGATCAATGAGAAGGCCCTGATCCCCCGGAGGCCCTGGGAAATGGTGTGAGTCTCTTTAAGTCTTGGGGTAAACTGGGCAGGGTGGTGCACACCTGTAATTCTAGCACTCTGGGAGGCTGAGTCAGGAAAAACAGAAGTTTGAACCCAGCCTGGGCAACTGTCTTTTTTACATCTCTCATCACTGAGACAAAATATCCAACATCCCAAGTTAAAGGAGGAAAGGTTTATTTCAGCTCACATTTTGTAGAGGTTTCAGTCCATAGTTGGCTGGCTCCAAGGCAGGGTGAGTTGGCAGAGGAACATGGCAGAGGAGAAACAGTTCATGGCAGGCAGAAGGCAGCAAAGCAGCAAGCAAGCCTGCCTTTGTATTTCATCCACACCACCCACTCCTTGGGTGGTGCCACCCACACCCAGGGTGGGGCACCCTTAATCTCAGCATCATTCATTTAATCCCAGCATCACACATTTTAGATTTCACTACCTCTGATAAAACCCACCTATGACCCCATGGGGCTTTGGGAGCCGTCTAGACACAAGTCATAACAGCAATTTAGCAAGTCCCTGTCAGAAAGAAAGGAAGGGAACCGGGGAGAGAGAGAGCACAGGAAGAGATTGATGACTGGGAGTGGTGGATTACACCTGTAATCCCAGCACTGGGGAGGCTGAGGCAGGAGGACTGCTGTGAGTTTGAGGCTAGCCTGGACTAAATAATGAGTTCAAGGCCAACCTCAACTACATAATGAGATCCTGTCAAAACAAAACATAACCAAAGAAAACAAAACAAAACAGAAAGGAGAGATGGATGAAGGAAAGAAAGAAAAAAAGAAAAAGGAGGGAAGGAAGGGAGAAACAAAGAGAGAGAAACAAAGAGAGAGAAAAGAAAGGAGGAAAGAAAGGAAGGAAAGAAAAACAGAAAAGGCCTGGGACTGTAACTCAGTGTGAAGGCCTAGGTTCAATCTCCAGTAATGCAAAAAATGAATCACTCAATCAATCACTCAGTCAATCATCAATCTGGGTGAAGCTGGGAGCCCTCTCCAGACACTAGGCTAGGCTGTCATCTTTTTGGAGACCCTGTGGCAGAGGCTTTAAACCCTGCTGAGATCCTACATGGGCCTTCAGCCCCACTGGGACATGATGGATGGTCCCTCTGTGATCCTGAATCCCTAGGACATAACTTAAACTTTGCAGACCCTAGGCAAGGCCATGACCTTCACCGAGACCCTCAGGAAGGCTGAGACACTGGGCAAGGGCTCTTGTCCCTCCCCACTCCCCGAGGCCTTGCTGGCCCCTGGCGTCTTCCCACCCGGTCCTACTGTGCAGCGCTCTCCAGGAGGTGCCTGCATCTCCCCAGCTGCCCCGATTCCACTGAGCACCCAGGATCCTAGGGTGGCTGAGGCGAGGTGTGAGCTGCTGCGGCACTGTGGAGGGAGAGGCGGCGGAGGGGTGGGGAGCGAGGGCCCCCACTCAGAATTTGTCTCAGGCTGGGGAAGCCTGAAGCTGAGCCAAGGGGCCATCCCAGCCCAAGCTCCTGGGCGGAGGGTCTTCAGTGGGCAGGGAAGGGGCTATCAGTGCCCGGGCAGGGTGGCAGAGATTGACAGGAAGCGGGCACAGGATGCCCTAGCCCTTCCAAGCCCTCCAAGTAGAGTTTGTGAGGGTCCCGTGGCTGAGGTTACCTTGTTTTCCCCTGGCCCAGTGCACAGCAGGGCCTAAGACAGATGAGAACGCTCCGGCCTGAAGATGGGTGGGCAGGAGCCCCTGCAAGAGGGGCCAGGGCCCAGGGGATGGCTGGGCTGGGCCTGAGAGCGTCTAGTGTCTCCACACAGAAGGTAGGACACAGGGCTGCCACGTGGGGTCCACACTCTGCTTCTTCCTGCTCCCTGGCCTGTGCTTTTTTCTGCTCCCAGGGAAGCCAGGGGGTCTCAACCAGGGTGAGGTCCTGGAACAGGGTAAGGAGTGAGCAGGCAGCGGGGCGGGGAGCTCTCCTCACTCACTCCCAGGACCATGGTCATCCACTGCCTGCCCTCAACAGAGGCACGAAGCTCCCCCCACCCCAGCTCCAGCTGTCTTGGACTAATGTGGAAAGTGCTCTGTTGAGGCTGGGGTGGGCTCTGTTCTCCTGGAGACCTCGGCCCCCAGCTGCGAGCAGGGCGAGCCCAGGCCATCAGGTTCCTCATTAAGACTAATGACCCTCGGCCCCAAGCAGAGGTGCTGACGCCCAAGAAGCTCTTCCTGCAGACCCAGCACCAGGGAAATGATCCAGAAATTGCAGCCTCAGCCCCCTGGCCATCTGCCGACACCAGCACCCCCGGGTCCTTAACGGGCCCAGTGGTAGGGTCTGGAGACGAGCTCAGGGCTATAAAGTCAGCAAGGACCCGAGAGACCCCAGCCCTGCTGGACCAGCTGCATTCTGAGACTATCAGCAAACAGGTCTGTGTCCTCCATGCTGGGTGAGGCTGCACGGCTGGGGTTCTAGGGCGGCTGGGAGAGGACTCGGGGTGCTCCTTTGTACTCGTGGTTCTGGCTTCAACTCTGCCTCTCCATCAGGTCATCGTCGTGCCTCCACCATGGCCCCGTGGATGCGTCTCCTTGCCGTGCTGGCCCTGCTGGCCCTCGGGGGGCCCAACTCTGCTCAGGCCTTTGTCAACAAACATCTGTGCGGCTCACACTTAGTGGATGCGCTATACCTGGTGTGTGGGGACAGAGGCTTCTTCTATACACCCATGGCCCGCCGGGAGCTGGAGGACCCTCAGGGTGAGCCCCCACCTGCCATCCCTCGCGGTCCCCATGCTCAGTGCCCCTACCCTGGCAGGGCAGAAGTAAGCAAGAAGCTACTGCCCAGGAGAGTTGATGGGCTTGCTGGATAGGAAGGCGGCTTTCTTGGTCATTTCCTAAAGAGACCAGCTCCCCTTGGCCACTCGGAGCCTCTAGGGGTGAGGGGTGAGCAGGCTGCACACTTTAGCTGTGGCTCCTAAGCACAGCTGGACGCCTCCCTCCACTGGCCTTCAAATATCTGCCCTGGCCCCCTGGCAACAGCAGCTTCCGGGGTCAGATTTTATTATGCAGATTGCATCCTGGTGTTGATAGGCTCAGGGTAGCCTGGGGACCACACATGGGGTGCCCTGTCCCGTCCTTCTGCCTGCCCCTGGACAAACGCTTTGTGGAGCTCTGAGCTCTGCCACAGACACATGGGCACATGACCATGGGGCCTGGGGGCAGGAGGTGTGAGCCTCCAGAGCTGTGGGTGTGTGCTATACGCAGTGCCTGACCCCAGGATGGCGGCCCCTTCCACCTGGGCCAGCTCACTGGGGGAAGCAGCAAGAGGGAGGTGGTGTGGGGCCAGCCGGCGTGCTGCTGCTCCTGACAGCATCTCCCCCTCTATCTCTCTCCACCGCTGCTGCTCCTCCTGTGTTTCGGCACCATCACCCTGCAGTGGGGCAGGCAGACGCGGGTGTGGTCCCAGAGGCAGGCAGACTGCAGCCTTTGGCACTGGAGATGACACTACAGAAGCGTGGCATTGTGGATCAGTGCTGTACCAGCATCTGCACACTCTACCAGCTGGAGAACTACTGCAATTAGACACCCGCCCTGGGCCTGGCCTGCCACTCTCCCCTGGCAACCAATAAACCCCTTGAATGAGCCCTGTTGAATGGTCTGTGCGTCAAAGGTGGGGAGGGGCTGACCCAAGTAGGCACACGCGCGCCAGCCCTCCAGCCAGGCCCCTGCCCAAGGCCCCTCTCCACGCTCTCTATACCCCTAACAGGCCCCCTGAGCCTCTTCCTCGCTCTGTGGGCATCCACAGGCATCCACATTGGCCCAGACCCAGGGCCCAGGTGGCCCCCTCCCCCAGCTGACGAGTGTCCCCAACCTGGGGCGCTAGGCGGACCACATCCCATACTGTGCTGCTTCCGGGTGGACAGCGAGAAGCGCTGTGGGTCTCTGTGGGTCTGGTAGGTGGGTGATGCGCAGGTCGGAGCTGACTTCTCACTCCAAAGCCCTGGACCCTCAAATCCCTCAGAGAACCTGCAGGGGCAGGAAGACCGGAACATTCCAGCAATTGTTGCCCTCCGGCCCTCCCAGGTTGTTTTAGGGCTATTTTGGATGGAGTCCCAGAGAAGGAAGAGTTGGCCTGGGGCTAGGGGTCCCGCTGGGGCAGGGACTGAGGAAGGCTAGGAAGCTGCTGCAGAGCATCGGCCACTCTTGGTGCTGCTTAGCTCTGGGTGGGCTGGGGATATCCTGAGCCTCCAACCTGGATCCAACCCTGTGGACCCACAAGGACCCCAAAGGAGGAAGACCAGGCCAGACAGCCCCCATGAGCAGGGACCAGATTGAAGGACTCTGAGGCACTGGGTGAGGCCTAGGATCCCCACCCTGTAGGGGTCCCCTGACTGCTCACAGGCAGCCAGAGTCCACAACCCAGGGACCAGGGCCAGGGTCTCCCCGCTGTCCTCCAGCCTCTCCTACCTGTTGGGCAGGGCTGTTCACCAGCCTCCTCTATCTGAGAAGTGGTGGTCTCCTCCAGAAAGGCCCCCAGGCCCTCAGGATGAGGTCACATTGAGTCTAGACCCTCTCCCACCCTGGCCACTGAGCACAGAAAATCTTTTCAGGCCCAGCCTGGGTGCCACCTGCTGGGCAGACAAGAGCCCAGGGGCTCCCAGGGCTGGCCATGGCCTGGAAGGTCAGCAAGTGACCCTGGCTACTCTGAGATCTGGCCAGCCTGCCTGCCATCCAGGCCAAACCATTCTGTACCTCCCATGAGAGTGCCACCTGGCAGGGTGGGGTGGTTGGCTCTGGGGCTGGTGCCCTAGCCCAGGGGCTGCAGAGCACTCAGGACTAGAGCTGGAGAAGGCTCTCCTGCGGGGGGCCCGGCCACCTGGGGAGCCTCCTACCACAGCCCTGAGGACCCCTCCCAGGTCTCTTTCATTCCATACCCCTTCCGCACCCCCACCTAGAGATGTGGCAGGCCCCCAGCAAGCCACGCCCCCAGAGTGGGGGCCAGGACTGGGCAGGCGGGTGGACAGCCAGACACTGGACCTGGAAGAGGAGAAGGAGGAGGAGGCTGGGATCTGTCCATGGGAACACCCCGCTGGCCTGTTTGCACGGCTAGAGCAGGGGCGTCCTGCTGGAGTAGAGGTATGTGAGCTCACCGCCGGGAGGGCGGCTGGAGCTGGGACCAAGCTGTGGGCAGCAGGGTCCATATGCCCTCCAGGCAGCCATTGGCCAGGACTGCCTGGGCCCAGGGGGGTGATGGGCAGATGCGTGCCTTGAGGTGCCCACAAACTCCTTTTGGGGTGTGATTTGGAGGTAGAGGGACTTGGAGTCCTCTGGGATCCCGGAGTCTTGGGGTCAGCCCAGATTTGAGAATGTACGTTTTGTGGCTGGTTCTGCATGCTGCTGGGGAACTCAGGAGTGTCTTTCTGGGGGAAAATTTTTTCTGTAACTTTTCCTGGGGGAGCCTGAGGCTTACAGGAAAAGGAAGGCTGCTCGGCCGGAAGTGACTGCCACCCTCTCCTTCCTAGAAACCTACCCCAGACCTGAGACAAAGGACACTGGTCCCCAAGCTCCTCCCACCCAGCCCCTTGGCCCTCACCACTGTGTTCTTGAAAAGGTGGGGACAGGAGGCCAGAGACCTGTGAGTGGGCAGGATCCACACCCGTGGGAGACATGGCCACCCACGCACGGTGCTAGGGCTCAGGTTGCAGAGGCGCCATCGAGCAGTCGCCCAACTGTACCACCCTGGCTGCTGACCCCCAGGTGTTCGGCTGGGGAGTGCAGATGCTTCCTGGAGCATCCAGGGCACCCCATGGAGGCCTGGCCCACAGGACTGGCCCTGCAATCCTTGCAGGCCTCACCCCCACTCCACCCCTTCTGGGAACCTGGACAGTCCCCCACGTCCCGAGACCCAGCCTGCCCTTGGAACCCAGGCTGCCCTTGCTACACTCCAGTGGTACAGTCAGCTGTGTCCAGACAAGCCTGTCACCCTGGCCTTGCTGGGTGGGGGTGCCCTCCAGCTGGGGCAGTGTGCTGGTTAAGCAGTTGCCCTGGTGCCCCGGCCCCCTTACAGCCTCTTCCAGGTGTATGGAGGGTCAGGGTGCTGCTGCCTGATCTGACCAGGTGGCCCATTTCATTCACACTGCAGGAGCTCTGGTACCAGTGCTATGCAAGGGAACACCGAGTCCCGAAGGTGGCATGGCCAGTCCTCTTGTGCACATGGCATGGCACATGTCCCTGCCCGCCTAGGACATTCTACCAGAGCAGCTGCCTCCAGGTGACTCCCTCGATTGCATTTGCTCCTGGCACAGACACACTGGTACCTCAGCCTGGCCCAGGGCAGTATTTGCCTTCCCCGGTCAGCAGTAAATATTTGCTGTCCTCACCACTCTCCAGTCCTGAGGGCCACGAGAGTGGATGCAGGGATGCCAGGGTCGACCCCTGCCCTGGAGGGCCCGGAGCCACGTGGGGTTTAGCCTAGAGAAAGGGAGCCAGCCCAGGACCAAGTGGCCCTTATACCTACACCCCAGACAAGGTGGCCCTGGGCAGTGCTCAGGGTGGGTCTCCAGCCAAGCTATGAGGGAAAGGAGACCCCCCCGGGAGCCGCCTCCTGACTTTATGGGGCGGCCTAGCAAGGTGGACTAGACTATATGGCCAGGAGTGGCCATTCAAGGAATGGCCAGCAGAGGGCAGCAAAGCCTCACTTTTGCATCGCCGTGGGCCTGCGCGTCCGGCCCTTGGCCTGCTGGCCCTTCTGGCAGAACATTCTGCCTTGGACTTGGAAATGTGAAATGTGGGGAGGAAAGGAGGATTCTGGGGTGCAATCCCTACCTTGGGTAGGCCCCAGGCCAGACTTGCAGTGACTCAGGCTTCCCAGAAGCTAAAGAAACAGCTAGGCAAAAGGTAGGGTCCATAACGCCACACCCCATTTCCTTCCCCCAGGAAATAGAAACCTTAGGGAATCCCCACCGAGGGAACTTTAGGGTCAACTCCAGCTGAACCCCATGTCACGGCTTACCATACACTAGGGGCCAGGCAGTCTGTGCCCAGCTAGGAAACTGTTGTCCTCGGGGCTCTGGGGGACACTGACACTGGAGGTAGAGAGGTTGTGTGCCCCTCACTCTGTTTAGAGCCATCTGGCCATTTGAACTAGAAGGTTGGGTCCACGTCCTCATGATACAAGGGCAACCTTGGGGTATAAGTGGCTTCAAGTGAGGTTCAGCTGGGCCGGAGTGGTTCTTGCCTGCGTCTACCCTCCACCCCACGCTGAGAGGAGCAGGTCAGCTCCAGGAGGAAGGTTGGGTGGTGGACAGGGGTCTGGGAACAGCAGACATGAGCTGGGATGTGGTGTCCGCCCCAGCACCCCCTTTATTGTTTCTGGCCTGGCCACAGCACCAGCGCGGCAGATTCCTTCGAAAGTGGAGCCTGCTGGAGGTGGCCTCCCCATCGTCCGCATGTGGCCCAGTCACGCTGTGCTGGCGCCGGGCACCCCGCCGGTCCTCCCACCTCCCCCGGTGTCCTCAGCTCACTCCCCACTCTCAGGGGCCCAGCTCACTCAGAGCACACCCCACTTCCTGCCCATCTGCAGCTATGGGGGGCCCTGCAGCTGCCCCTGGAAGCCAGGCCCGGGGCTGAGCCAAAGGGCCCGACAGCCCCCTGTCCAAGGCTGGGTGTGAGAAGGGGTCTTGCGGTACCTGCGTGCCGCGAGTGAGTAAAGATCCTTCCGACCCAGAGTCAGCCTGCCCGTGTGTCCCCACTCCGCTCACTAGGAGGTGCCCTGTTCATCTGGACCCAGGGCCGACTCTGGGCCGAGGCCACAGGCTCTGGGGGCTGAGCCAAAGACACCTGGCACCCCATCTGCGACCCCCGAGCTGCCTTTCCCAGAGACAAAGGTCGGCCCTGAGGCTGCCTAGCTTGGGGGTCTACAGACGCCCCGGCTTCCTGGAGGCCACGCCCGTGCAGCCCAGTGCGAGTCCTCAGAACCTGGCGGCCAGCGCTGACCCACATTCCACCCGGGGCCTCGCTCTGACCTCCCCAGCCCATCTGTGTTTGTGGAAAACAGACTCGGAGCCCAGCAGCCCTGCCGGCGCGAGGCTGCTCACGCTGACTCCAGTGCACCCCTCTGTTCTTCAAAGTCCACCCTCACGCAGAACTCGGTCCCATTCCAGCCCAGCCTCCGGCCCCCTACCCACCCCAAGACCCACTGCAGTGGGCTGCGGAGCGACCTTGGGAAGTTTCCTCACCCTCTCTGGGCCCTAGGGCCTTAGCATGCGTCAGCCACACATGGTGGCCTGGTGGCAGTCTGTACGGGGCTGGGAGGATGTGATCTCGGGGACCCTGGGTAGACTGAGGCACCTGAGACAGTGCTCTGGCCATAGCTGCCCGGCCCCCTGAGCCTGACTTCCGAGCTTCAAAGATTGCATCACTGGTGGGAGCTGGTGGAAGGCAGGAGGAGGTTGGAGGAGAAGGTGTTCCACCTGGGCCTGATTAGGGGCAGGGAGGAGGGAGGGCCCCTGAGGAATGGGGGGAGGGCAGGCGGGCTCCCCAGGCCAGCCCTAGTGGCACAAGCAGAGCTCAGAGGCAGGAGGCTTCCTCGCCCCTGCAAGCGCCTCCCGTGCACCAGGGGTCACAGGGGCTCGGCAGCTGGGAGCCTGCGGAGCTGGCCCCTGGGCTCTTCCCCGCGGCCAGCACGGACTAGCCCTAGCAGAAAAAGAAGGTTGCTGTGGTCTGAGGAGCTATGCAGGGCCGTTGTGTCCTGTGGACACTGCAGGCAACAGGCCCTCTCCTCCTCCTGGTACACCCTCAGCTTTCTTGGGGCCAGCGCAGGGCTCAAGTGTGAGTACCAGTGGGTTAGGCAGGCTGGGCCTTACGTTCTGGTTCCGCCATGCATGGCTGTGTGTTTTGGGAAGGTTACTTCACATCTCTGGGCCTCGGCCTCCTGATCGATTAGAAGGAAGCTAAAGGAGACCACAGCTGCTCTGACAGCCAAGTGTGGTGCTCCTGTGGGATGCTGGAGGCCGTGGCAAGCCTGCATCGTGGTGTTTGGCGGGGACTCACACCGTAGCCTTGGTCCTTCCTCTGTGGTATCTTCTAAATCCAGCCTCCTGCTTCTTTCCTCCGCAACCAGAGGCAGAGACAAGGCTCAGGCCAGAGGGTATCCCTAGGGCCGGATTCCTTCCCGCTCTGGCCACCACATGGGCAGAAATGAGTGTCCTCCATCTTGCCCTCCCTCCCAGCTTGCTCAACAGGTCTGGGAGACCTCCTCTATCTTAGGCCGGGAGTCACCAGAATGGAGGTGTCCTCTATAACCGGGCCACACGACTCACTGCTGCGTGGCCAGGCTACCCCGGGGTGGGCTGAGGGTTCCAGGTGTGTGATGAGGTGTGGGGGGAGAGTGGGGGCTCCAGAGCCTTGGGCTACCTGTGCAGACTCCTCATCTCTTGCCTGGGTACCTCTGTCCAGTTGCTTTCCCTCGCTGGGCCTTTGTTTCCATGGGGATAACACTTTCAATCTGGTGGTGGTTTGGGCTCAGTAGGTAAGAAGAAGCAGATGTATCTGTGCAGGAATTGGCCCATGGATAGGTAGAACAGACCAGAGTGGGAAGGACCAGCAAGGTCCAAATGAGGTACAAGTGAGGTCCACGGAGAGGGATCTTTGTGGCTCTGAAACCCCAGCCCACCAGCCAGGGCCCTCAGGCCCGGGAGACTGCACACAGCCCTGCTGGTGGGCTCTGCGCCCTGGAACTTCCCCCTGCCCTGGCCTGTTTCCCTCTGAAAGGTCCATGTCTTCTCAGGCAGCAGGGTGTACCTGAGCAGGTAGAGGAGCCTTATTGACTGGTCTCCTGGTGCCCCACAACGACCTGTTGTCTGGGCTGCATTTCTAGGTGGTCCCAGAAACCAATGTTCTGTTGCCAGCAACGGGGGAACGAGGGACCAGTACAGCTTCACACCAGGAGAGTGGAACAGAGTGTTTATCGTCCAGACAATCCGCTACCACGCCTCACACTGATCGTGGGGGCAGAAGGGAAGTAGGGACTGGGGAACAACTTACTGCCCAAGACTGATTGGCAGACCAGGGATCTCAACCAGGTCAGCTGTCCGGGCCTGCCTGTTCCTCTCCCATCTAAATGCACAGGGTTGGAATCTACAGAGAATAGTCCCCTCCCCTGGGCCCCCAGGACAGGGCTCCCCGGCACTCAGCTGTAGCCCCTAGCCTTTGAGGAGGCAGCATTTCCCTTGCCAGGCTCCCAGCAGGGGCTACTGAATGTTCAGTGCCTCGAAGACTCAGGGAACTCAGGACAAAAGGGATGCAGGCAGGATGGGGTCTGTGAGTCACTGTCTCCTTTCTCAGTCCCCCAGGCCATCAAGGGAAATACCGGATTTTGGAGAAAGCAAGGTGCTTTCTGAGGCTGTGGCTGCAATTTCTCAAGTAACCACCAGGGGGCAGGTTTGGGCAGGATTCGGAGATCCCTGCTTCCCAGGTGGAGCGGGGCAGAGCTGTGAATTGAGGGAATTGAGGATAGAAGCCCACCCTCGCCCCTCCCAGGAACTCTGACCTTGAATGGGGGTTCCAACATTCTGCCCCAGGCCCACTTTATAATACAATCAAATTTTATTTTGATACAAGTATAATACAGTTCCCCCTTTTGAGGACAAAGCAGATGCTTCAGGAAGATAGTCTGGGTTTGACCTATGGCTTTGGGTACCTACCATGCCACAAGCCCCTGGGACAGGGGATGCCCAAAGAGAGGAATTCCCAGTCCCAAAGTCAGTAATGCCAGGATAGCAGCAGAAGAACCTCACATCCAAGAGCAATGTTGCAGAACCCACCAGTACCTTGACGCTGTGTGTGTGTGTGTGTGTGTGTGTGTGTGTGTGTGTGTGTGTGTGTGTGTGTGTGTGTGTGTGTGTGTGTGTCGGTGCGGCGGGTGGAGAGGCGCTCCCCTGGTAGGGAGAAGGTATCAGCTTTGTCACAAATTTCAGTTTATAAGAGCTGTTATGCCGCTGTAATTCCAGAAATGACCACCAGGTGGCAGCACGAGGCCATTTAAGCAGCCAGTTCGTGGTAACCTGAGGATTTCTAAAGTACCTCAGTTCTCTTCTTCGAAAATGAGGGTCCAACTAGACCTTCAGCGGGGGCTCTTTCCCTGCCTACAAGTGAGAGGAATAAGTAGGTTTGTGCTGTGTTGCAGCCTCACCCCTACACCCCATCTTTTGTTCTTTTTAGGGTCCCTTGCACCGGTGCCCCTACAGGTCATGTGTCCCTTTATGGAAAACACATGGAATCTAATGTTGGCGGTTACAACCCTCGCATCCCACCTCACCGATGCTCGGTATTTCTTCTCCTGCTTTAGTGGCACTGCGCCTCAGCGACTCCCTTATAGGCCCTCACTCTTACTCTCCCTCCCTGCACCCTCTCCTTGATCAAACAACCCGGATCCCTGAGATTCTGATGGAATAAAACAGCCCTGGGCTTGGCCAGAGATGGGAATCTACCCCAAGGCAGAGTTTTAATACATTTGAGAGGTAGAAATTTCCCGTTTCCAGGCTTTTGATGGTTGGGATGTGGGCTGCATTCCCTTACAGCCCCTTAGCTAGCTATCCGCCTCCTCAATCTGAGGGCACCCCCTTGGTGGGCCTCCATGGAACCCTGACCGGCTTGGAATGAGCCCTTCACTCTCCTTCCCCCACCCCCGGTTCGCGAAGTCCCAGCGGAGTTCCCTGCGGGTGCTGCAGCAGCTCCTTTGGGTAACCAGACATCTTGCAGAATACACTAGGGGGCAGCACATGCCGCAGAGCTCTCGGCCACAGGGCCCCTAAACCCGGCTGGAGCTCGCAAAGGCAAGGGACTGCTTGGTCCTGAGAACCATGGACGCTTAATGCTGGATCCCATCTCTGCACCCCAGAACCGACTCAAGGTCACTAACATCCTTGTATCCCTCTCCATCCAGAAGCCCGGTGACGAATCCCACTTGTCCTTCCCCGAGATAGTGTGGCTCCGGGGAGTCTGCATCCGGTTGGGACACTCCCATCATATCTGAGTCCCCCTCTTCCCTGTTGAAAGCCCACGTACACCCCATCCCTCCTGCTAAGGGGTTCGGTGGGCATGGTGATACACGCCTGTAATCCCAGCACCCTGGAGCCTGAGGCAAATGGATTGCCATGAGTTCAAGACCAGCCTGAATTACAAAGCAAGACCCCATCTCAAAATTCCTTGTATTTTTTTTTTTTTTTTTTAAAAAGGGTTCAGATGAGGACTTGAAGGAAAATAGGAGAGGAGAGAAATAAATCCTAACACGGGCTGGTAAGTTGGGTAAAATAAACACCAACAGAATGAGTGGTTGGCGTGCAGGAGCGCCGGGAGCTTGGGGGCTGGTGACTCAGCTTGCTCTGCTTCCTGCTGTCCCTCAAGGCTATGGACAGAGATTCCAGATTTCCAGTGAATTTGTCCAAACAGGTATTGCTTCTGAGTCCTCCCTAGCTGCTTTTAGCGCTGTTTGTGCTTTAATTGGAGTTTCCACTAGGCACTAAAGCCCGTAAGTCCTGCCGGTCGTCCTACCCAGAAGGGCCTGTAGATGCTCTCTGCCTGCTGCATGCCACTTGCCTCCATAGGCTTAGTGCCTGGCACCACACACAGAGTGCAGGGGTCAGGTCAGGCGTGGCTGGTGAGGGGGAAACTCCCATAGGAGTCATCTGCCCGTAGAATACGAGAGACGTGGCTGAACTGTGTTATACCTGCACTGGGCGCCCTTGAAAAGCAGGTTTTTGCTGATTCTCGAACCCTGTCCCCATTTTACCAGTCCCACACCCACCGACGGTCCAGGGGGTCACGTGACCACCAGTGGTCACTTTAATGAAGCCTCACCCACCCCACCCCACCTCCTCCACACACTCTCCACCTACGAACTAGCCCCTAGAAGTGCTCCTAGGGGCTGGGGATTTAGCTCAGCGGCAAAGCGCCTGCCTGGCAGCGCAAGGTCGTGAGTTCGATTCCTGGTACCAGAAGAAAAACGAAAAAAAAAAAAAGAAGAAGTGCTCCTGCTAGATGCTCCTGCTGGGTCAGGGCCAGGCCAGAGCTCCACCCCTGAATGCACCTGTGCCCTAGAGTGGGAAAGCGCCATAGCCTGAGGCCTCAGTGGCCCCAGCAGAACTGCCACGAAGCTCCCCAAATCTGAAGGGACTCGGGGAAAGGTGTGAAGGGGACAAGGAGGTGAGGGGGAGGCCGGCATTGGAGCAAGTGCTGTGCTCAGTGGGAGACAGGGCAGCCGCCTTCTCCGGGCTGTGCTACCGTGCCCGCCCTAAAAATGCCCATCATCTCTCCAGCCTCAGCCTTGTCCCCCTCCACCTCCTCTTGACCCTGCAGGAGGGTCTGGGCGCCATAGCCAGGGCACCCCTGCTTTGGCGGAGACTGCTAATATTGACCCAGCCAGTTCCAGCAGAGAGGCTTGGGCACCACTGACTCCCCAGTCGTCCTTAACCACAGCCCAGGAGCTGCAGGGACCGCACATTACCTAGACACAGGCAGCCGGGCCTCCCTCCCGCACGCTGCGCCCCTGTGTATTGGGAAGGCAGCGGTGGAACGGCGCGCTTGGGGCCTCAAGGAGCCTGGTCTCAGAAGGGAGGGAAGACTCGGGCCAGTGGGCCCGGTGAGATGAATTCCTCGGGGCATCCTCAACTTTGTAGCGGACAGGAAAGACAGCCTCTTTTATAAGGTTGCACAAAGCCACGGAGCCTTTTGCAAGAAAAACAAATTTTCCTTTACTCATCTGCCGGGCAGGATGGCAGGGGCAGGGGCAGGGGCAGGGGAGGAAGGCAGGGCTGCTCTGCCCAGCAGGAACGAACAGCTGTTTTTGCAAATGTAAAAGGAAGAGTTTTCTTCAGGAGGACGTTCTTCTGGCTTCATCCTTTCCACCTTCTCCCTGCCCACCCCTCGCCCCTCTGCCCTCCCGACTCCCAGTCCCAAAGACAAACAGGACAAACCCTACGGAGGAGGACTCAAGGTCTCGCATCCTAAAGCTGTGCACGTGCGCATGCGTGCGTGTGTGTGTGCGCGCGCGCGCGCGCGCGCGCGCGCGCGTTTGTACCACCGAAACGTAAAGCTGCCCTCTTTGCGTACTCCCTATGCCTCCCAGCCACGGCCAAGAAACTGTGGAGTGAGGCTCAGGGACAAGAGAAGAGATGCCTCTTGTTACCTCCCAGCAGGGTTTTAAAAAGAAGAGCTGCATTCTTCCCGACTGTGTGCCCACCTCTCCCTGCCACCCCCAGCCTCTCCTGTCCACAAAAATTATTGTGGGGGCCCTGGCAGTTCCCCTAGGAGTACATTCCCGTGTGCATGTGTTTCTCCCCTGCACTATGGAACGCAGTCGGCCCACTGTGGAGTCTATGGAACAGGGGTTCATGCCCCTTCGCCCTGTGAAGCCTAGCCACCTCCTCCCTGGGCTTCTCTGAATGTAGAGCTGGGTCCTTGGAGTTTTGTCCCTAATCCTGTTTGCTTCCACTTCAGTTGGGAGTGGAGGGAGAGACTTTCAGTTTGTACCGTGAGCCTTCAAACATAGATATTTGCGTGCAGACCCCAACCCAATGCCCAGAGAGAAGCCTGCCCCAATAGGAAGGGGGCAGCCCAGGGGCCGAGTCTCCTGTTTCTCCATCAGCAACTGTCAGGCTTGGCGAAGAGACTTTCTCTCGTACTCTGACACAGGGGCAGCTGAAGGGATAGGAGGAAGAGACAGTGCCCCTGCCCTGGCAGGGTCACACACAAGTCTCCCGCCCAGCAGCAAGAGGAGGAGGACCAGGGCTCTAGCTGGAGTTAAGATTTCTTTTTTTTTTTTTAATCATCTCAAGAACATCCCTTTGCTATTCCCTAGGGACCCAAGAGTCACTGCTGAGCTCTTAAGAGAGGAAACGGATCCCCGTCCCCAGTTCCAGGACCTGGCATCTCCTGTGGCTCAGGCTCGGGCCCAGGCTGCCCCCCCAACCTGAGCTGCAGCGGGCCAGAGCTGCCAAGGAGCCCAGCCCCAAGGCGAGCAGCTGTGGTACGTGGACCAGGCGATCGCCAAGCATCCAGAACTGAGGCCAGCAGCCCGCCCAGGCCCCAGTAACGTGAGTACTCCAGCATCCTGGGCAGGGCCGGCATGACCACTGGTGTGGGCTCTTTTTGCACCGTGCGCCCCTCCACAGACTCAGGCCCCCACCAGGCACACATTTGAAGCCGCCATCCCACTTCACAAGGAGCCAGCTGGTATCTGGAATTCAGGTGGTGGCTCCACGTGCTTCTCTCCTGGGGCTCAGGTGTGAGCAGGGCAGTGTCCTTGCAGTCTCTGTGGAGGGCATTCCTGGGGGAGGAAGAAGAGCGAGAGGGGAGCGGAGAGTGGAGGGAGAGAGCAGGCAGCTCAAGGGAAAAGGCCGGCGCCCCTGGTGAGGTCGGGATTTGCGGGAGGAGAAAAGGACAGAAGGAAGAAGAGGGGAACCGTCATCACGTAGGAGGAACTGGGAGACCTGAGTACAGGTGAGTGCATCCCAGCATAGGGACATGAGGCTGGGTTCTCCCTGCCTGGGCTGTGGGGCTATGGAGCCATGCACCCGTGGCTTGAGCTCTGTGTCTCTCTCCATATGTCAAAGTGGGTGACAGTCTTAGATATCCTGACTCAATTGTGACCAGCAGGAGATAATGACCAAAGAGGCATTCTGAGTGCCCTCCACCAATGGTGTCACCATTCCACTGTCATCTGGATGTCAGTGGGGCTTCCTGCGAGGGGCGGGTGAGAAGCAGCTAAAAGGGGCCGGGCCAGAGCAGCCTCTACCTCTCACCACGCAAGGAGCGAGTTCGGAGCAAGTTCAGTGGTGTGGCTACGCCAGTTCACTAGTCAGGTACTGGGGTCAAGGGGAGCGGGACTCAGGGTCCCGGGGAGCACTGGAGGTGGGGCCAGGTGGGGCTGTGTTCCTCCCTAACAGCAGGTGCCACACGCCTCTTCCGGGAGGGGCTCTAGGGGTGACCCTCATCTATGCCACTTTGTCCTCCAGAGAAGCCAAGAACTTTTATTTTATTTTTTTGTCTTTTTAAGACAGGGTCTCGCTATGCAGTTCAGGCTGGCCTTGAACTCACTTTGTAGCCCAGGCTGGTCTTGAACTCGCATGATCCTCCTGCCTCAGCCTCCCGAGTACTGGGATTACAGGCATGCGCCACTATGCCCGGCTAAGCCAAGAACTTTTAAAGATGTCTTTTTAGTTCAGATGCTAAATAAAATAGTAACACAGTGGGTGGCAGAGGTCCTGAGTGTACCCCCTGCTCCCCCTTCCCAGGTGAACTCCACATCTGGATGCCCTTGCCTCCCCAGACCCTACCTACTTACAGCTTCGGCAGTAGGTAGTCGGTGCCGTCTGTCGTCTGTCGCCGCGTGAGGGGTTCTGGTTCGCAATGTAGGTCCCTGGCTTTTCACGCTGACATCGAGCTGTGTGTCCTGAGCTGAGTGGAACGAAGTCTTCGTGCACCTGGGTAGCAAGCAACCTGCCTGGTGTGAGACAGGGCACTCAGGGGACCCCCGGGCAGAGCTGGGTTTGTAAATCCTGGGCTGGGTCCCAGGGATTGGGGAGTGAATACTTTTGCGCCTGACCTGGGGAAGCAAATCGGTGTGGGCATATTGAGGAAGGCTCCCTGGGGGCCAGGGGAGGCAGTGGAACCACAGGGCCAGGCTCAGTGGGGGTGAGTCTGAATCTCTGAGCAGATGTTCATGCTTTTTGGAATTTGGGGTTTCTATCCAGAGAGGGGACCCTGCTGGGCACTTGGGAGTAGAAGTTCCTGCCAGTCAAGCTCCTGCAGGTGGAGACCCCAGCCCCACACCCTCAGGATGCTGGTAGGATCCTTCTTACTACAGGGGTACAGAAAGTAGGGGGACGTAGAGGGTGAGGGAGGAGGGGGAGAACCCAGCACCGGTGCTAGCTGAGGGCGCGGCTGGCCCAGGGTGACCCGGACCTGCTCCAACCTCCCTCCTGCCTGCCGCATCAGCCACACTTTTGACTAAGTAAGTCCAGGTGAGGGCTCTGCAGGCAGCCGGTGGGGGATGAAGAACATGTGCCTTGTGCATGCCTGCACTGGCATAGCTCCCTGCGCCCTGGTGGTTCCACAGTGACCACCCAAGGTGACCTCGGTCTTCTTCCTACCTTGCAATGTCCAGGCATGCATCCTTGACAGCGAATGGCAGCTCCTCCCCATAGCTGGCCACTTCTGTGGAGCAGAAAGCAGAAGGTGGGCCCCCAGACACGCCACGGCTGCAGTTGCCCTCCTGGCATCCCAGGAGGAGGAGGAAAGCCAAGACTCTGCCGAAGGCTTCTTGCCCTCGAATCTGCCCAACCCCAGCCTGGGAAGCAGGCTTGGAGGAAAGGTGCAGAGCCTAGAGCCGGGCCCTAGAGAGTCTCAGATTTGTCTTTACTTAACAGAGACCCTCAGCGAGGATTTGAAATCACTGTGGTCTCACAGGGAGTCAGGGTGCAGACAGGCACTTTTAAAAATGTTCCTCACCCCGAAATTTACAAGTCTCCCCGGAGTGGGAAACAACGTCGGCAGAGGAGAGACCTCTCTGCTGAACGCTCCCTCCCGTCTATAGGCACACACCCCACACCGCAGGCCCGAAAGCCAGGACGGGAGGCTGCAGGAGACTGGTGGAAGGGGAAGGGGGGCAGTGATGGGTGGGGGGAGACAGGCCAGATGTTCTTGGAATGGGACACGGTGATTGATGCGGACTGGAATTTGAAGGGGGGAACATTCCCCACGTGCCTCACGGGCTGGGTGGAAAACGGGCTTCTCTTCATGGAGTGTGGGGGGAGGGTCCTCCAGGTCTCGCCAAGCTAATGTAAAGGAGATGCTTCTGCCCTGCCCGGGTCCCCACACACCTGTCCAATGACATTAATGCCTGCCTTTCCAGAGTGTCAGGCTTTGAGATGCTTGCCCCAATCCTCCATTTCTTTATGGGTGACAGGAGAGACAAGCAATGCCTACTGTACTGGATTCCCCCCCATTCTGCTGCCCCCCAGCAGGGCTCCTTCTCTGGCATCCCCACCCAGCACTCCACCCCCAGCCCGTTACTGTCCTTCACCTCTAACACTGCCCAGTGCTAAGGGGGTGTCCTCCTTCCCAGCGCAGCACAGCCCAGCATGGTGAGCCTAGTGGGGAGGTTTGCCGTGAAAATTCTCTGTGAGAAAATCAAAGGGGACCCCTGGCACCCAGCCACCGTGCAATCCTGCCTGCCCCCATATTTCTCCTTCGCTTTCCCATTTCCTCTTCTCTTTCGCGTTGCCCAGACAAAATGGGTTTCACCGTTGTTTGGGAGTTGGCTACAACCAGAACGGTGCGCGCAGAGGGCCAGGGCAGGCGGGAGTGGCTGCCCGGGGTGCTCCGAGCCCCTAAGCCGAGCCGGGGAGGAGCCTGCCCCCGGCGGCGGCTCGGCCGCGGCTTCGCCTAGGCTCGCAGCGCGGAAGCGCGTGGGGCGCAGTGGCGGCGGGGAGCCCGCAGGCCTCCTCCGCGGCGGCTAGGCTGGAAGCCGGGAGCCCTGGGAAGACCCGGGGAACAACGCCCCGGCAGCTCCCTCAAGGCCCTCGAGTTTCTCCTTTCCAAGCATGCGCCGGCTCTGTACCGGCTCCCATCACAGAAGCCCTCTCGGTGGCGCGTAGGCTATAAAACGAAAAGCTAAATTCATTTGGGCGTGCGCGCCAGGGCGCCCGGTGCTACCTGCCCCGCTGCCCTCGTATTCCTTTCCCGGAGCCGCGGCCTCGAAGCCCGCATTCGCATTTCCCGGGAAGGGCGCCACTGCTCCGCCCCGGTCCCTAGGTGCGGTGGAGCCGAGCAGCGCGTTCCTCTCCAGCCTGGACGTTGCCCTAAAACGCAGCCCCAGCTCTCCAGGGTTCCAGTACATCCAGCAGCTTCCTTGTAATCCCTGAATTCCAGCATTACTGTTTATGGACTCCTCTAGATTTAAGCATTGCTCCCTAGATCCTCCAAATGCGTTCAGCATTTGTACAGCTCACAAGAATTTTTTTTTTTTTTTTTGAGGCTTAATTTCCAAACACTTTAAAAGGCGTGAAGCCCCCTGCTACTGTCCTTAGACCTACACTAGGGAACCTGGGTTCCCAAATTTGTTTTTGTCTAGGCTTTTAGCAGATTTATACACCTCCTTCTAGCTACTACAGATTTACAGAACACCAACTGAGGTTTCCTAAAATTTAAACAGCAACCCACAAGTCCTGTGATCATACTGACAGACCCTCCTGGTTCCCCAAAATGTAAGCAGTGTTTTCCTAGCATTTAGGTACTGTCCTTAAAACAAGCAGAACTTTTCCCCTATATTTCTATAATCTTAGCTATTAACTCCAGGGTACCCTAAGCTTACCATCCGTGTTCTGACTTCCCCACTTTGCGGCCCTATTCTGATCACAATTTGGAACACTATCCAGTGAGTTCCACCATCCTCTGCTGTAACTTGGGTTCCCTAAATTTTATACACTGAACACCAGGTTTCCACAACACACTGAGCAATTTTCCTGGAACTCTCAAAGTTAGAAACTGGTTTCCTATGTTTTCCCTCAAAGTTAGGGATTGCACCCAAGCACCTGGAAAACAATCTGTACTGTGATTTCCTCTATTCCATAAACTGAGAGAATGCTTTCACTAGTGATCCCCAAAATTCAATGAACAATTTTCCTCTAAGGTCATGAGGATTGGAGACATTTATTTCCAAGATCCTACAGGCTTCCTGGCCGCTGATCAGGTCCTTTAAAACATAGCCACTTATAACCCAGGCCTCAAAAGCTCACTGAGCAATTATCCAAGATGTATTCCAGTGTGCTGGGAAGGTTTTCTACCTTCACTCTTTCAAATAATGTCTTTGGGTCACATTATACACAAAACTAACCCTTGGCAAAGCCTATTTCTTGTTATAACAATCTTTGTTGAATGTCCTCAATCCTCATTCTGAACTTTTTTTTTTTCCTGCAACACAATATATTGAATTTTATTAAAAGGCCCCATAGGTTTTCTTAGTTTACTAACAAGAATCTGGATTTTCTAAAATGCAAACACCCAAATCCCAGGACTACACCAAATCCTTTTTCTGATCCCCCATATTTGCCCAAGCTGGGCTCCCTCAAATATTAGGCTATGCCCTTCAGGCCCCCAAAGACACAATTATTAATTTACAGAAAAGTAAGAAAGCTACCTATGTACCCACTGAATCCTCCAAAATTAAGCAATATTTGCTGCAAATACAGCACAATCCTCACACTGATTTTCAGACCCTGCAACTTGGGAATTCTCTGTTCCCTAAAATTTAGGTATCAACCCCCCAAGTCCTCTAAAGATCTCGAGTAACTTTTCTAGATTCTTGGTTAAAAATTATTTCCCCAAAGCCCCCAATGTGAAGTAAGCCAAAACAAATTGAGACTTTTTTCCTCCACAAAACAACTAAGGTTTTATTAAGCTTCAGTGAGCTTTATTGAATTATATGACCTTTGCTTTGTGTCTCCCTAAAGTTAGGCAATGTCCAATGAGCCCCCCCCCAGCCCACTGAAAAATCCCCCAAGTCCCCCAAAATCCTAAAGGTTTTAAAGATTTGTGCCTTAGTAGTTTCCTAGCTTCTAACTTGGCTCTCTGAAATTTAGATCTCAACCTCCATTTAGTAACTTCCATGGACCCCAAAAATTGAGACTATGTTTTGCTGGAGTTCCCTAAATGCAAACCATGTCCAGGAAAACTACAGGATTTTTGGCCCTTGTTCAACAAAAATAAACGAACTGAAGTCTATTTTTAAAATTAAAATGGACATTGATGTCTGCATTCCCCAAATGTACTGCTTACACTTTGGGTTCCCCAAAATTTAGACAGTGCTTCTGGGATAACTAAAGAACACTGAAGATTTTCCTGAACCTACAGTAAATATGGAGGTCACTTTTCCCGGGTGCTGCAAGTCTCCAGCTGCTGACCTGCATTCTTAAAATGTGGACATTAATCCCTATCTCCCTCAAGAATTTGCTTAGATTCCTAAAATATGTCCCTTGTTTTCATCCCATGATTTTAAACACTGTGCCCCTTAGATTCTCCCAAATTTCATGTTGAGAATTTTCTTTGGTTCAACAAAAAAATTTATCCCAAACTGGTCTGTGACTTTGTGGGACCCCCAAGCTCGAGATCAACATGCTGGTTTCCCTCATCTTAGATCTACAGCACTGTGTCCCCAAATTTCATGGTACAATTTTCCTCATCCCCCAAGTGGACTCTATTTTTCTGAAGTCTCAAAATCATTTAGCACAGTTCCCACATTCGTGGAATCTCCCCTGGGTGTCCCCACTTCGGGACAATCGTTCTTCAGGCTGCAGATCAGAGATCCATCGTGCAATTCTGAAATTTGGGCATTGTTCCCGGCCCGCCGGCTGCCCTAGGCTTCCCCAATCCCGTGCACCACAGGCGCTGCTTTCAGGCCTCTTGGCGACTCCTACAGAGTCCCCAGAGCAACTCGGATTTTGGAAATTTTTCTTTCTGTACCCCAAACACACTCCCGACCGCAGCGCGATCGCCAGGACGTGGGCAGTACTGCTCTCCTAACCAGGAAAACGACTGGGCATTGTCCCCCAGTTTCCCCCAAATTTGGGCATTGTCCCTAAGTCTTCCAACGGACTGGGCGTTCCCCCCGGACATTGGGGACTGCCCCCCCGGGGTCTCGCTCACCTTCAGCAGCGTCCACTGTCCGCCACAGAGCACTCGCCCGCCCGCAACCTCGGCTCTTCGTGCGCCCGCAGACGCTGCCTCCAGCTTCGCGGTGAGCTCCCAGCGGCCCGGGTCCCGCCGCCTCTGCGGCCCCAGCCTGGTTCCTGCCCGCACCCGCTGCCGTCCCGATCAAACGCATGGGAAGGCGCTTGTTTCCTACAACGCCCGGGAGGCCGGCGAGGAGCTCAGGACCCCGCTACGGGTTACCCGCTCGTCGGTCGCACTCCCTTCGGTTTGGCGCTCTGAAACTAACGCCACTTTCGTTTACTTTTAGCAAAGACCACAATTGTGGGCAGAGCGGCTTGGCTGCCCCGAAGCTGTGCGGGCAGGATCCGGAGTCGGTGGGACGCGGAGAGGTGCTCCGGGTTTAAGCGGCGCGGCGCCTACAGCCAGCCTAGCTTAGCGCTTGGGGAAGCGCGCGCCGGCGCGGGCGCAGTGATTGATGGCGGAGCGAGGGGGTTAGCCGGCGCTTGGTTTCCGCCGCCCGCGGCCCCTTCCTCTCGGCGAAGCGCGGGCGTTTCGGACTGCTGGGGGTGATTAGGGGCGGGGGTTCAGGGGATTGTGAGTGGTTTTGACTTGGTAAAAATCACAGTGCCTTTTTACATCGTCCAAACTCTCCAGGAGATGGTTTCCCCAGACCCCCAGATTATCGTGGTGACTCCCGGGCCTGAACCTGCGCCTACGCAAGTCCAACGCACTGAGGACGGGGGAACCATTATCCGGATATTTTGGGTGGGCTTCAAAGGCGAGCTGCTTAGACGCATCCCGGTGAGCTCAGTCACGCAGGTAGGAGTTGAGCTTTTATTCTTCTCCAGAGAGCACGGCCTTAGCAGGCAGGCTCCATTCCTAGGGCAGATTGGGCCGGGCCCAGCTAGCCTTCCCCGCGCCCCGCAGCTGGAAGCTGCCGGAGCTGCTCCGGGCTCCCGCGCGGCACCGGGGGGCGCTCGGGATCCGGCTGCGACTCGAGGTGCCTCGTAGCCCTCTCTGACTGCTCGGGCAGGTGGCCGCCACGCACCCTATCCGCTTGGGGATCTTTCCTCCCGGCAGCTCCGACAGGGGACCGAGTCACCTGCGCGCTTGCGCTGGCCAGACACCCCCGCCAGGTAGCCCACTGGCGGGGCGCGGGACTCATTACTGCTAAGGCCTGGGACGATGCCTACGGCTTCTGGCCCCACGTCCCCGCTGCTGGAGCACAGGGCTCCCTGGCACCCCAGAGCCCCGAGAGGAGACCCTTGGAATTCTTTAGAATAGAGATAAGGGGTTTCGTTCGCCTTCTGCATCTCCCAGCCCCCCACCGCAGCCTCGAGTCCCCGCACCCACCGGCACCCCCCCAGCGGGCGCCCCGAGGCCTCGGGCCCCCAGCCCGCGTTCCCTCCGGTGGCTCG